TTTAAAAAACATGAATTTATATCAAATAATCACTGAATTCTGTGCAGAATTGAGTGAGAAATAGTGCTCCACACTATAGTATAATTTATAGATACACTTACAGTGTATACACTTACACACTGTATTGTAAGAGAAAATTTTAGCTGAAAATACAGGCATATATTTACACACATATGTATATACTATAAGTAAAAAATTTCTGTATACACCATATACAAGTATACAGTATTACTAAGCATATTCTCTAATTAAATACTAAGTTTGAGTTTCTAAACCTTATTTACTTTACTTATTTATATACCAAATTATTTTAATACTATAAGTATGTAGCAAAAGTCTTTGTCATTCCTTAAAAGGTAGATTTATTTGTAAGTGATTTGCATGCCATACATAGAAATCAGATGTAGATCAAAGCTTTGATCAACACATTGTGAAGTACAAAAAAATACAGAATTTTACATTATTTTCACAAAATGGCTTGTATTTTCATGTTTTTTTGTGTGTATAATGTGTTTATGTATGCTAGAAATGTAAGACAAAGGTTTGATGTGTCTCTTATAGCCTTATAAGTTAATGCAAATCACTTACAAATACACTTACCTTTTGAGGAATGATGAAGACTTTTGCTACATACCTGTATATAACAACCTTGTTTAACTTAAAAAGTACTAGTATGAGTACTATAGTTAGTATGGTTACTACAGTACATTATATGAAGGTTTAGAGCTGTCACATAATATTAACTCACAACACTCAACTGTCTTATTTCTGTGTGTAAACAGTACTACAATTGTCTGTAACAGTATAGAGGGGACTCAAAGGCTTAGTAAGGGGACCCAGGCTACAACTATCCTACATAACAGAAATACAGAACACAAGTACTAGAATGTAGTCAGAACTTGCAGAACAGACAGAGAGAGAGAGTAAGACAAGAGTAGAGTATATAGAGTAAGCCTAAGAGTATAAGACTATCTAGAGTAGACAAGATCAAGACTATAGAACTAGTCTGATCTTGTACACTTATATATACTAAACTATACAAGAGTACTTAGAGAGTATGAGTTACTAAGAATAATAAGCTACAAAGAATGAAAGAAAGGAAGGTCAAAGATAAAGGTACAAAGAATAAAGGGATAAACAAAGGGTAAGAGACTATAAAATGAACAAAGAATGAAGGGGTGGTCAAAGGAATGGAATGATAAAGTAAGGAAGGGTAGTAGTAAGAGTCAGTATACATATAGTTTATAAATGGTGCCTCTGAGGGACAGAAGTCCTAAGTTCTAGTATAGAAGAGTATAGAACCCTTAGAACTGAAAGTATGAGAGTAGAGAACTGTAACATCACCCTCCCTCTAAAACCAATTGTCCTAATTAGTGAACATTAGACTTAGTTAGTAGCTTAAGTATAAGTCAGAACAGTAGAGCTTGGAAATCTGTAAGGCTGAGTTTGTGTAGAGTACTAGGATAAAGCTGATAGAAATCTTGGATTACCTTAAGAGTATAGGTAAGGTTCTTAGTAGGTTCCTAAGTGTACTCCTCAACTGAGTACCCTTTCTAGTAAACAAGGAATTTGAGTTTTCTATACAGTAGCTTAGTATCTACTATGTACTCTACTTTGTATTCTGGTTTAGAGCTAATAAGTTCTAGTAAAGACAGTAGGAGTCTTTATTATAAAGGAAAACTGAGATTATAGTACTAAAACAACAGAACCTTGTTAAACACTAAGTGTATACACTTCTATGTTACTAGAAGTTAGAGTTTGTAAACAGAGGTACTAACCTTCTTTTTAATAACAAAGGGTCTGAAGCACTTGTTGTCCAACTTCTTTATTAGGTAATCTGAGGTCAGATTAGTAGCTTCTAGTATAACTTTGTCACCAGGCTGGTAATCCTTAGCTGTAAACCTCTTCTAATTATAGTTCTACTTTATAACTTATACTACCTTCTCTAAAAGAGCTTGTGTGTCCTCCCTAGTCCTGTGTATCTGTTCTACAAAGTCTGTTACAGATTTGGAACTACTATTCTGGTTCAGAACTGTCCCCTAGTACAGATGTCTCTTATGATTAAGGAAGAACAGAGACTGTCCTGTTATAGAGTGTTACTAGTTATTGTGTACAAATTCTGTTAGAGCTAACCATTCAGACCAATCTGATTACTAATGATTAATAAACATTTGGAGGTAGAGCTTAATCTCCTGATTGACTCACTCAGTTTGACTGTCAGTCTGTAAGTAATATATAGTAGAAGGGTTTCCTTGAATTCTGAGAAGTGTATACAAGTCCTGTATAAATTTTGACTTAAATTACAGTCTACAATTGTGAATGAGCTTCTAAGGGAGTCTGTACAACTGGAAGACATGATTCTAATAAATACACACTATGTCTTTAAAAGTGAGTTCTATTTGAGTCAGAACTGTATAGACTTGCTTAGAGAATTAGTCAACAATTATACAGATAGTATTGTAACCCTAAGACTCAGGTAGCTTACTAATCAGGTCTACTAAGACTTCTTCCTAAGAGTGATCTAGGATCTAATACAGATGTAAGAGAGCCTAAACCCTTGTCTAGTAGGTCTTAGTCTGTTAGTATGTATTATAACTAGTTACATACTTTAGAATTTCCCTCTGTATTCCTAACTACTAGTAGTTCTAAGTAATGAGTTCCTGTGTTTTGTGTTAGTCTAAATGTTCTACAGTTGGATTGTTGTAATAAGCTCAGACAATGTCCTTCTACAGCTTCTAATCCTTCAGAATGTACAGTTAGCCTTTCTAGTAAACCTGTCTATCCTTATCCTCCTCCTAATCCTTAGCCTACTTCTCTAACTACTTTACTACAACCTAGTCCTGTGTGTGTCTCAGAGCTTACTGTATACAGGTGACAAAGTTGACATTCTCAGATTTGAGTCAGATCTCTTAGATTGTCTTAGACACAAAATAGGAATTGTTTAGGAGAACAAGATTTTTATTATTATTCTCCCTCCTTTTATAATCTACTTGTCTTAAGAGTAAATCAGCTTTCATTATTTGTGTTCTAAGTTTGTGAGTTAGTATAAAGTCATAGTTTTACAGTTCTAACATCTAGTAGGCTTAGTAGTAGTTAAGCTTCTGAGACACTCAGAAGTACTAAAAATTAAGGTAATTACTCTAAATCTTAAACTTCTGTACAGTACTAAGAAGATATTAACACTACTCCTCTAGGGAACAGACAATTGTAAGGAGTTCCTTGTTATAGATAGAGTAGTTCTATTCTGTTACAGAGAGGGATTCTGATCAGAACACTATTAGACACTACTTTCTATTA